GTCTAAGATTAGAATCCTGAAAGTGGTATTGTGTCAAAGGGCAAATATGCGATTTACCGTGATGTGCCAACTTCCCTTCTGTAAGTGTTTTGCTGTTTTTACATTCTCTCTAGTAATATACAGAGTGTCTATTTCTTCATTGCCTTAAACTTTCAGATTTTTGCCAATCAGATAGATAAAAGAGTCTCAGTGTAGTTTTAATCTGCATTAAATTAAATTTGCATCTCTTCGGAATGTGTTGAGCATCTTCCCATTTGTTTAAGAGCCATTTAAATGTCTTTTTTCTGTGAACATTTTATATTTCTTGCCCATTTTTCTATAAGGCTGCTGATCAGTATCTTATCTACTTTTAGAATATTTATGTATTAGAAATATTAACCTTTATTCTTTCCTACTTTATCATTTTTCTTCTTACTTAGCCAGTTTTTTCCCATAGAAAAGTTTTTCACTTCCATGTGGTCAAATTTATCAGTTGTCTTCTTAAGTTTATAACTTATATTTTAAATGACTCATATTGGCTGACTGGTTGGGATGAGGTGGAGGAAGCAAGGGCAGAAACAAGATGAGTTTGAAGGTGATGATAATAATCCAGCTTTGGGGTGCTTCTGGGTATCCTCTGAAGTTTCTGAGAGGAAAAGAAGAGTGGGGATGACTCTCAAGTTTTTAGCTCAACAGGATTAAGTTGCCGTTAACTGAGAAGGAGGAGATTGTGGGAGGGGCAGGTTTCAGGGAAGATCAAGAATTTGATTATGGACATGTCAAGTTTGAGATACCTATTGGACATCCAAGTGGAGACAGCAAATTTAAAGTTGAATTTGTGAGTCTCTAGTGTAGGGAATGAAAGGAAGGTTTAGTAATAATCTCTTGGGAATAATCAGCATGTAGAGCACATTTATTTAGGTGGTCCCTTTTTGTGTATTTTTATTGAGATTTGCTTTACACATGTTAAAATGTACAGATAATTATACAGTTCAATTTTATATATATATATTTTTTTATTTTGGTATCATTAATGTACAATTACTTGAACAACATTATGGTTACTAGACTACCCCTATTATCAAGTCTCCCCCACATACCCCATTACAGTCACAGCCTATCAGTGTAGTAAGATGCTATAGAGTCATTACTTATCTTCTCTGTATATACTGCCTTTCCTGTGTCCTCCCCCCCTGCTATATTATGTGTGCTAATCATAATACCCTCTTTTCCCCCTTATCCTTCCCTTCCTACCCATCCTCCCCAGTTTCTTTCCCTTTGGTAACTGTTAGTCCATTCTTGGGTTCTGTGAGTCTGCTGCTGTTTTGTTCCTTCAGTTTTTGCTTTGTTCTTATACTCCACAGATGAGTGAAATCATTTAATACTGGTCTTTCTCTGCCTGGCTTATTTTACTTAGCCTAATACTCTCTAGCTCCATCCATGTTGTTGCAAATGGTAGGGTTTGTTTTCTTTTTATGACTGAATAATATTCCATGTGTATATGTACCACATCTTCTTTATCCATTCATCTACTGATGGACACTTAGGTTGCTTCCATTTCTTGGCTTTTGTAAGTAGTGCTGCCATAAACATAGGGGTGCATATGTCTTTTTCAAACTGGGCTCCTGAATTCTTAGGGTAAATTCCTAGAAGTGGAATTCCTGGGTCAAATTTTTAGTTTTTTTGAGGAACCTCCATATTGCTTTCCACAATGGTTGAACTAGTTTACATTCCTAACAGCAGTATAGGAGGGTTCCCCTTTCTCCACATCCTCGCCAACATTTGTTGTTGTCTTTTGAATGTTGGTCATCCTAACTGGTGTGAGGTGATATCTCATTGTGGTTCTAATTTGCATTTCTCTGATGATTAGCAATGTGGAGCATCTTTTCATGTGCCTGTTGGCCATCTGAATTTCTTCTTCTTTGGAGAAATGTCTATTCAGCTCCTCTGCCCATTTTTTAATTGGCTTATTTGCTTTTTGTTTGTTGAGGTGCATGAGTTCTTTATATAATTTGGATGTCAACCCCTTAATCGGATATGTCATTTATGAATATAATTCTCCCATACTGTAGGATGTCTTTTTGTTCTACTGATGGTGTCCTTTTCTGTACAGACGCTTTTTAGTTTGATATAGTCCCACTTGTTCATTTTTTCTTTTGTTTCCCTTGCCTGTTTATGTCCAAGAGATTTTTGCCTATATTTTTTTCTAAGAGTTTTATGGTTTCATTACTTACATTCAGGTCTTTGATGATCCATTTTGAGTTTACTTTTGTATATGGGGTTAGACAATAATCCAGTTTCATTCTCTTATATGTAGCTGTCCAGCTTTGCCAGTACCAGGTATTGAAGAGACCGTCATTTCCCCATTGTATATCCATGGCTTCTTTATCATATATTAATTGACCATATATGCTTGGGTTTATATCTGGGCTCTCTATTCTGTTCCACTGGTCTATGGGTCTGTTCTACAGTTCAATTTTTGACAAACATATTAATATCTGAGTAGCTAGCATCCCACTCAAGTACAGAGCATTTCTATACCTCAGAAAGTTCCTTGGTGCCCCTTTCCAGTCAGTCCACACTCCAGAGGCCACTATTGTTCTGATTTATATTACCACAATTTAATTTCATCTTTTATAGATGATACGTAAAATATAAGGTTGGATGAGATTACCAAGGGTGTGAATGTGGATATAGAAAAGGAAGATCCAAGTACTATGCCTTGGGAAATGATTTCAGGGGAAAATGAGGAGGAATCAGCAAGGAAACTAAGGGTAGGAGAGAACCAGATAGTCCTGGAAACCGAGTGCAAACAGTGTTTCAGAAAGGATGGAGTGATGAGCTGTCAAATGCTCCCAAGATTTCTTGTAAAATGAGGATTAAAAATTGACCAATAGATTTATCAAGAAGGGGATCATTGGTGACCTTGATACAAGCTGCTTTGGTGGAGTGATGGGGCCTGAATGCCTAACTGGTGTGGGTTTGAATGAATGGAAGGAGAGGAGCAGGACAGCAAGATTACAAACATTTTGAGGAGCAGAAAAATAGGGTAGTAATGATAGGAGTGTGGGATTGAAGGGGAATTTTCTTTTCTTTTCTTTTTAATGAGCAGTATTTCAGTATCTTTGTGTGCTGATGCAACTAATCCAGTAAGAGGGGAAAGTTGAAAATGGGAGAGAATTGCTTGAGTGGTGCTTTTGAGTCAGTAGGAGGGGAAGGGCTCTAGTGCACAAAGGAGACGCTGGCCTGAGTTACGGGCATGGCAGTATGTCCATGGTCACAGGAGGGAAGGAAGGCCAGTCGAAGTGCAGGGGAAAGCACGCAGAAGTTCCCTTTTGGTTGTTTCTGTTTCTCAGTCAGGCAGGGAGGAAGAGGAAAAATGTCACAGATTGAGGTGAGAGTTCTAAGTGTGAGTTTGTCTGAGAATGGAAGAGTTAATATGTCATCACCTAACATCTAACCCTGCTGATAACAGCTGTGTCACTTGGATAAGCTACTTGCAATTGCTATGCCTCAGTTTGTTTGTGGAGCTAGAAGTAACTTGTCTCTTAAGCTTGTTGTGAGGACAAGGTGAGAAGACACATAGTATCATTCCTGGCCCACGTAGTAGGTATTTAATAAAATAAAATTTAATAAAAAGAAGCATAGCAATAAAATTGTTAATAGATTACAGCTAGAACAGCACTTCTAATATTTAAAATACTACTTAAATCTAATAGTAATCTAAAACTTTTCCAAATATGCATTTTGTATCTGTTGATTACATGTATTTATATATTCAGAATATGGAATTAGATAGCCAAGTGCCACATTTTTAACAAGAATTAGATCCTTTTCTCCTGGTTTGCCACTTAAATCTATAGAGACTCATTTGATAAATTTGTCCCACTAGTTTGTTGAAAAGATAGTTTTAGTTATGTCTCTATTTCAGAGCTTTGGTCTCTCAGTTCAGTTTGACTACGCTGAAGAATGGAAGGGGTTGAACCTATTATTGCAGATTTTATGGTTTATTTAAACATTTAAGTATGGAAATTTTCTAATATTAACAAAAATAAAAAGTATAATGATCCCCCAAGTACTTATCATCTAACTATCGCCTTAAATGATATCCAGATGAATTTAGAGAATTAAATGATCTTTGAGAAGATTTGGAATTCACTTGTCTTGAATAAGAGCTTAAAAATTCTGATTTAATAATTACTTAATTCCTTCAGTCATTTAATTCATTGATTCATGCAACAAAATTTATTCAGGGTCTACTTTGTTCATTAGTGCCTATTGGCTAACAGCCTTAACTGGTAAAAGTCTTAGCTCTGCTGTTTACTAGCTGTGTAGTCCAGGGCTAATCAAAATATTCTAAGCTTCAGTTTCCATATGACAAAACTGAGATAATGCTAATACCTACCTCACAGGCGTGTTAGGAGGAATAAATGAGGTACATTGGCTTACTCAGTAAATGTTAGCTACTATTATTACAAATACTCTCCTTTTCCTCCTCTTCATCTTTGTCTCCTGGATTTTGTGTTAGGTATTATTGAAGAGTGTGAGAGGCTCAAGATGTGGACCTTGACCTTGAAGAACTAGAATTCCAAAATCACAATGTTAAGAGCCAGGAGCGATCTTAGAGATTATCTAGTTTGACAAGCCCAGAAAGGTTTGGTGAATTGGCCAGTGTCTCACAGCTGTTAGTGGCAAAGCCGGCCCAAAGCTCAGGTACTCCCGCTGTAAATGCTCTACTTACAGAATGGCTGCTGCTGCTCTATTGGTTTGTCTGACTGCTCCCCTCCTTAAACCATAGTCCTTCTAAATTGACGTCTAAACACTGCGTGTTCTTCAGTGTTTTGCTTTTTCAGTGTGAAAACATTGAAATATATATGAGGTTTTTGCACACATTAGACCTGATTATGTTCCTGCACACTCCTTCCTTAAGGTTCTAAGGAAAACTTGTTAGAGAAGATGGACAAACTGTTTCTCTGTGTGTAATCACAAAGATCTTTTTATCTTCCTCTTGTGTCACACAGCCCAGGAGTTGAAGTCACTGTTTGAGAAAAAGTCCCTCAAAGAGAAACCTCCAAGTTCTGGAAAGCAGTCAATATTATCTGTACGCCTGGAGCAATGCCCTCTGCAGCTGAATAACCCCTTTAACGAGTATTCCAAATTTGACGGCAAGGTAAGTAAAAATGAAACTTTGCTCCTTTAAGTAAAGCCTCAGTTGAGTGGAATTGCTGTTGTTGGTATTTATTATTGTTATTGTTATTGTTATTATTATTATTAGATTTAGGTTTCAGAAATGACTCAGATTAATTATAGAATGTCACTCACATTTTCTAAGACTGGGAAATGTAGAAAGGTCTGAATTTAGGCTTAATACTATTTCCACAGTAATTTGCTTGTGATTATTAAAAAGAGTCCAAGGATACGTCTGTGTGTATTTTTTTTTTTTTTTATGTTTTACCCGCTGTGTACTTGAGGTTTTGGGTTAGTTGGACTGTGATTAATCAAGGTCTGATTGTGTTGGGAAAGCCTTGAAAGTGGTTGTGGGAGGCAGTTTGTATTGTCCTGTCTGATTTTTTATAACTGCAGAAATGAAGTTAGAGCTTCATTTGAGAGTTCCAGGCCGTTGCCTTGCATGTCAGTATTTCATTGTAGGGTATCTTTGACACTTGCTAAGCAGGATGACTTTATTTTTTTGTTTGTTCTAACAATTTGCAGATGTAAAATTAAAGTGTTTTTATTTTCCTTTGAGAAGAATGACCGCTATTTTTAGGTGGAGTATATAGTTTCATGTGCAACACCCTGGGCTCCCCCCTACATTCCCTGCCGTTCAGTCTCTGTGCTGCGCTGAGCTGAGCTGAGCTGAGCTGAGCTGGGCCTCTTTTGGGAGACAGTCGCAGTTGATATTTTTATTTATGGTCATTATGTTTTCTTTCTGGCAGTGGTTTAAGGGTGGTGAGTGATAGCTTCTTGCCTGGAGAGGTGTGTACAATTTGTCTCATTTCAACACTATTGCATTTAATAAACATACAGCTCTTTGCTTATGTTTGCATTTTTCAAATTCAAGTTCTGGTTATGTGCTGGTTCTCTGAGTTGTCATATTTGAACAAGGAGGTGTTTTCTCTTTGAAACACTTCTACCTCATACAGTACAGTTCAGCATGTTTGCATGGGTTGAAATAAGCATGTGTGGCCCTCAGCATGGGAGATTATTGATGTTGGTAGAGAAGGAAAGCAAGAGCTAGAAACAAAAAGCATAAATAACATAAGGATACTAATATGCTGAGCATTTGCTGCAAAAACATTTGAAAGTGCTTTTAATAAATTAGAGGTGTTTTGATGTAAAGCCTCTCTTTAGCCTGTCCCTACTGCCTTCTGTTTCTTCTTGTGGAATGTAGCAAAGGAAAGGAAGGGTCTCCCTAGGTGACAGGAATGTCACCCTCTGGAAAATGGGGAGTTGGACTGTAGAGGATTTTTCCTTAAATAATACAGTTAAGTCGTTTAGATATGTGAGAAATTATTGGGATTAGATCACATGGCTGGCATTTATTTGCTTCAATTGCCTGATACCATCTCATTGTTTGAGGATAATTGCTAGAATAATTAATATGTAATAACGCTTTGATGCGAACAAAACAGCACTGATCTTTAAAAATACTATATTCTAGGATTCTTATTATACCATTAAATTCAATTATAAATCGCTTAGGTTTAGATTTGTCAGAAGGTTGTGAGCTCTGCTTGGTGTATATCTAGCTTCTGAAGTACCAGGGAGGAAAAAAAAAATGTAAAGAAGCCATTTCCTCAGTCACAAAGGAATTATTTTTGCTAGATGTGTGTTTACACTTATGGCTCTCCATGCTTTTGTCCTATCAGGTCTCTTTGTAATCAGCAAAGAATGTGCACATGGGGCAGATACCATTACACAGTGATTAAGAAAGATTTATATATCGATAAGGTTATCTTTTGATTCAATGCTATTTTATTATTATACTACATATTACAATTGCTAAAATACAATTAAGCCCTTGTTCTCATCTATTATTTAATATTGATGCATTTGGCAGATATGTAATGAAAGTGGCTAATATTTGAAGGATATTGTACTGTACATATTAAATTAGTCTTTCTTTATCTTTGTGAAATGCATCAATATGATATTCAATGACATCTCAGTGATTAATAGAGAATTATACTTGAGTCAAGCCTTTTTGTAACCTAGAAATTAAAATGACTATTCAAATAACACCTCAAAATGATCAAATTAGCATTTTGTGATTGCATAATAATGGCATTGTAGTAGTTATAACAGCACCATGGCTGCCTCTAGAGTTAAGATCATGTCAACCCCTTGATAATAAAGCCTTTTCTGTTAGAGTCGACTTTAATAATTTCCAGATTGATTCTTCCCATAAATCATTTGACTGTTCAGCACTAAATTTTTGTTACTGTTGTAACTTAAAATTATTTTATTTTTATTCAGCTCATATTTAAGAAGTGAAGTGAGAGTCCTGTTTTAATGATTCACCATCTTACCATTGAACTCCATTCTTTTTGCCTCAGATGTAAGGGTTCTAATGTATTTTGATAGTCCTTTTTCTTTTCTTTGCAAAGGTTTGTTAAAGCCACTAAAATACATAGATGCTTTTCCCCTACAAATATTCACAGTGCTTTTCTTGGGAATAATGCTTGCCTATTTGCATAATTAACCGAGTTGGTTAGGTCTCTTGGGTAAATGGTACATAATTGGGGAGAGAAGGGGACAGGGAAGAGTTTGGGGTCTAATTAAATATGCTAAAAAACTACTTAATAATGTATTTCCTCAAGAGACTAACTGCTGTGAAATCCTCCTTAGGATTAAACTAGCATTAGATTTGAAAAAGGATTTTAGTTTTGAAATGGCTTTACAATTATGCTGTAGTTAAGCTATCATGTCTAGTGTCTTTAACGGTTTGAACAAACTGGATTGTTGTTGTTTTTAGTTTCCAAGGGTAAGCATCTCTTGGCTATTGTGATAAAGCGAATACTTTAAAATAATTTTTGGTTCCTGTAGCTGGTTCATAATTTCATTTTTTAAAATTGCGGTTGTTAATTTCTTGAAGGCATACACTTGAGAGGGAAAGGCTATACTTAGACGTGCTGTCTTTTAATGTTAATATTATGTGTATGTTATTTTGTTGGCAAATTGACAGTGCTACCTGTGACTGTTTTAGATCCATAGATTATTAATAACTCTGTTTACTGATCATTTGAAAAAGTCCAATATAGATTGCAAGTGGTTCTAGGGGACAGGGCAAAACCAGGCTTACCCATCTGCTTGAATTCTTTAGGCTTGTTAAAAGTAGGACCTCTGAATAGACTTATGAACAAAACAAAACCTCTGTTCTAGAGATTGGGACTTCTTGTACCAGTTCCCAGTTTCACTTTATGTGGGAAATGTTACTGGGTGACCAGGAGGTGTGCTGAGGCAATGAGTGTTAAACAAGATGTGCAACAAACAGGCTCTGTGGATAGGCAGTAAACACTCAGCACTGAGGTAAGTTCCCCTGAATATGTGGATTTCTGCCCTTTCCATAGGTTTCAACTGAGGTCATGTTTTAAGAACTACCAACCCTTCCCATGCTGGGCCTTATCACTTGAGAAGCTCTTGCTAGTACATCATCACTAGTCTGGTTAAACTGAGTCTGCAAATGTACTTATTGTCAGTAGACCAATTGAAGTTCAAATACTCATTTCCTGTTAATACAGTTACTAACAGAGAAAGGGTACTGATTATCAGTTGGGTCATCTCAGTCACCTCTCCGAACCTCAAAGTTTCACTACCTATGAAAAGAAATTAAGGTTCCTTCCTCACAAGGCTGATGAGATCATCAAGTAGGCTAATGCTAGGAGAAAGCACCTATCGCAATGAGAGGCAGTGTAATTTAGTTTGTAAGCAAACCCAGTGTGTAGTAAGACCTGAGTTTGAATCCTGACTCCACCATTTATAGTGTGACTTCAGGCTAGTTACTTAACTTCATGAAGCTCCAGCCCTTCATATGTGAAATGAGATGATGATGTTTTCCTCATGTGAGATAAAGCCTGTGTAGCTAGATGTGTAGCACATAATAGAAAACAGCACATACCCTGCATCTGTAAAGGGTCAGGGCTAATGATGCTCTCTTTCCTGTGTGCTTCATTAGATTGTTGACAGCATCTAGTCATAGGAAGCGTGCTCTTCATTCAAACCAGGTGTGTAGAACAGCATTGTGAAGATGTGCAACAGGCTGAGTGAAGGTAGTGTCTGTTGAAGTCCAGAGAGTCCTATTGAGTTTTGACCTTTATCTTTAAATAAGAAAGTTAAAACAAATGATTACTTCCTTTTTGGGGGAGGAAGCAATGGCTATTTTTTAAACATCATTTGAGAAGGTAGTTCAATATTAGAAATTGCTTGGCAGTTTGCTAAAATGTTAAATATCTTATTTGACAACTAAATCGTACTCTAAAAGGAGAATGTTTGCCTTGACAAATGCTTGTAAAAGCCGAACCAGTTCTGGTTCATATAGACAACTGTGACTTTGATTGTGTTAACTTGTTAGAAAGTAACAATTTCTGTTAGAAACTGTTTTAACAGGGAAGCTGCAGAGAGCATGGGGGAAGGGATAATTCATGAGTGCTAATTGCTTGGCTGTTAATTTTCATAAGTGTTGATAGAAGCAGTTCCTTAAATTAAACTTTGTTTAAAATGTATCAGGGGAAATATTCCACAATGTCGAGCCTGAAGTGAAAATTAATATGAATGCTGTGGCAATTAACACATACTGGTTAATAGCTTTTAGCAGCATTTTGGGATGATAGTCCTTAAATACATTTTTGCATGCTGCTCTTGTTTCAGCTTTGTTCCAGTCTATGTCTGGATAATTATGAACAAATGTTTTCTACAATCATTGCCATTAAGTAGCTCTCTTCAAAAAAAAAGTCACTTAAAAGTTTGCAGAAAAGCATGAAGCCACTGAGAAATGTTGCAACTCAGAAAAGGTCAGCAAATTGAAACCTGGGGGAAAAAATTGCCTTTAGAGAAAAATGTGTCTCATTTGAACTTGGAATATTTGTTATTATCGTGGGAATTATCTCTTCTTATATGTTAAGCTACTTTAGCTTCAGGATCCCTTTCCAAATAATTATAACCTGGACTTTT